GAACCCGCCACCTTAGGTGTACGTGGCTGGCGCCTTAGCCGGTTGAGCTATAGGCGCCGAGCCCAAAACATTTTTTTAAAGAAACAACTCTTTGTATTTATATTCTCTTTATTTAATATAGTTGCCTCTAATTATATAACCAAAACAAAAACAGAGTAGGAAACAAACACAACTGCCTGTGTAAGCATAAACAACTGGTAGATAAGATGAAGAGGAGTAATAGACAGTACCTTATTGGTTTTGAAACTCCATTATGCTGTGGTCTTTTGTCAGGATACTTTGTAGAGGTAAGGGAAGAATGGGGGTTGATTTTGGTAGTAGAAATTGGTTAGTATAGTTCACCTGTGATAGTCACATGTCCTTTCTTTAAATGAAACGAGTTTTACCTCTTTCATGGAGACATCAACCTCAGCACATGCTCTTTTTGAAAGAGTGCAGTGATAAACCAGGGTCTTCTATTGAGAGGCTTTATTCATTCTTTCTCAAGCTTGAAGTTCATTATTTTCCAGTATTTTAGCCACAGCTTTGGGTATCAGAATGACGACAGCTTGTGAAGTTGAAGTCTTTTTCCCTTACTGTAAACAGATGATTTCATAATGCTGGTTGTATTATGTAAACTAGCCTTTTGCTTCTTGGTATAATCCTAAATTAATTTTCCACAGTGTGTTTTTAACACCTGAACTGCAGCATCAGAACCTTTTTGATGGTTTTGTTATGCTTTATTTTGTTTCATATTTATGCAGTACAAATCCCAACATGCTTATCAAACGTAGGTTTCTGTCATTAGTGTCATCTTGGACCCTCCTGTAATGTGTTGTTTAGTAAAGTCTGTAAAGTACATTATTTCAGAATTTAATGTAGGTAGTTTATTATATAACTGGTCCTGATTATCATCATGGTTTCAGAAAGGGTAATGTTTGGGATACACTTAGAAAAAAAGAGAATGTGGGATTTTAGAAATAGTGTAAATTGTAATGGTAGTTAATTACACAATAGGTTTTGAATTGTTTAGGCCTATAAAGATGAAATGTTAATTTAGAAAACAGACTCTTTAATCTACAGTCTTCTAGCATGTAATCAGCGTGGGGATGAATTAAGTCATTTCCATTGAAAAGTTGAATTTTCGCTGGTGCCTTTGGCTCAGCGGTTAGGGTACCAGCCCCATATACTGAGGGTGATGGGTTCAAACCTGGCCCTGGTCATCTAAAACAGCAGTGGCAACTGTAGCAAAAAGTAGCTGGGCATTGTAGGGGGCTCCTGTAGTCTCAGCTACTTGGAAGGCTAAGGCAGGAGAATTGCTTAAGTCCAAAAGAGTTGGAGGTTGCTGTGAGCTGTGATGCAATAGCACTCTACTGAGGGCAACCAAGTAAGACTCTGTCTCAAAAAAAGAAAAGAAAAAGGAAAGTTGAATTTTACAAAGGGGATTTGTTTACTCTTTTTTTATGGTTTCAGTTACCATTGATTCCCAGCTTCTTCATGTGTCGTATGAATGAGTTTAATTATCCAAAATGTTGTCATTCTAATTATCCAAGATTTTTTAAAATCAGCAAAAATTTGAGCAAAATATTTTGATTCTGTTCCACTTGAGGCAAGAGTAGAACTCACGATAAATTTATATATGATTTTATATGTATCCAGACTTGTAGTGTATTGTAATCTGCAGTTCCATTTAATTTTATTGACGTTAGAAATTCTCAGAAATAAGTTAAGTGGTTCGATTTATTGGCACTTACACTCTTATTGTACCACCCATTGTTTGGCAGAAGATCTAATTGAACATAAGCTGGTAAAGATAAGACTATGCACATTGCCCTAATGAGTTGATAGAATAAGATATTGTTATATAGTACCTGTGCTCATGTCACATTACTAGTAAAGACTAATACTTTTTAGTATTCTGGGAATATTTGTAATTACTCTGATATTTGCTAATAATTAGTTATATACAGATTATACAATTATCTCATGAAGAATAATTTAGAAGTACCCCCTCTCAAAAGATAGTTGATCTTCAGATTCACCTTGCATGTTTTATTACTCCCTATGAAAGCAAGGAGTTTAGTTTGGCTTGTTTCTTGATGATTCTTCAACTCTTAAAGTAGTGTCTGACACATAATTGGGTTTTGGTAACTATTTACTGAATGGATGTGAGTATCAGCTTCCTTAAACTCTAGGGAGAGGATGCTAAGTTTTTTTCAGCTCAATGTAATTCACTAAATTCATGAATTTAGTTTGTTAACTATCCTGAAGGAAACAGTACCTTACTTTCATATAGGTTCTGCCTGTTAAATATTTTTTGGCTCACTCTTCTTGATTGTAAAATAGTTGAAATTATCTTTGGTCTTTTATTTTGTGCGTGTGTGTTTGTGTGTGTAGAGGGGTTAATATAAAAAGTATTCACTGCATTATTTGGAGAATTGTGAATGTATTTTTTGATTCTAAAATCCTGGAGTGTATATTATAGAAATAGTAAGGTATAGATAACATTACCAAATTATGTTAGCAATGTTTTCTAGAGTAATTCATTTTGTGTTTTTTTCTGGGTAATGTGTTTTTTGCATAAAGATGTTTAAAATTGAAATTGGATTTTTGAACAGCTTCTTTGAGATATAATTAGCATACAGTAAATTGCACATATGTGGTGAGTTTTGACACTCAACTACATCTGCAACACCATCTGCTATTAAGATAATGAACATGTTTTTCATCCAAAATTATTATTTCTTTTTTCTATTTTTGGAGGGCCGGGTTTGAACCTGCCACCTCTGGTATATGGGCCTGGCACCCTACTACTGTGAGCCACCAGCACCACCCTATCATCCAAAATTATTTCCCATGCTCTTTGATAAGTCCTCCCTTGCTCACCATTTGCTCCCCCCACATCATCCTTTTATAACTATTGATGAGCTTTCTATCATGATGGATTAGTTTAATGAAATAGAATTTTTAATTTGATTTATTTTTATTTTCATAGAAACTGGACCAGGATCTGAATGAAGTCAAAGCTCGAGTAGAGGAACTGGACAGAAAATATTATGAAGTTAAGAATAAGAAAGATGAATTACAAAGTGAAAGAAAGTTAGTACAGACTAAAATATGCCTTAAGTTTTTTTTTTTTTTTTTTTTTTGGCCTTAATTTTGTGAGTAATGATAGTTACTGGCTGTTACATGGTTTTTAACTTGTAAATTAACTGTTGAAGTTTGTTTTCAGTGTTTTAGTCTAAACTGTGTACTATTATTGAGTCATGTGTGTTTAAAGGCAGTCTAATTTTTGTTGATTAGTTACTTGTGGAGAGAGGAGAATGCAGAACAGCAAGCACTTGCTGCTAAAAGAGAAGATCTTGAAAAGAAGCAGCAACTTCTTAGAGCGGCAACGGGAAAGGTGGGCAGGTTCTTTTTATTCTGCTTACAGTGAGTGAGTCATTAAGTCAGTCATTATTACATAGGAATTTATTAGCTTTCAAGCTGCAAATCATTGATTTCAGATAATAAGTAGAAGCAAAGTCCAAATCACTTACCCTCTATAGATATGAAACAATAGGAATTAGTTAAGCAGCATTATTACCACCTATGATATTGGTGATAGCACTTTCAATTTTTAGGTGATAAGTCCACTTTTTACTCTACTGTCATAGAACAGAGTATATAATAATAAAAGGTGTTACTTGTAGTTGCCATATTTCAAGGAGGTGAACAGAGATAATAAAAGGTGTTACTTGTAGTTGCCATATTTCAAGGAGATGATGTGTTTGTTGGGGAGGTTTAATTCAGTTTCTAGTATATTTTAAAATGTATGGCGTTAATAGGCTCATTTTTTAGTAGGAGTGCTGTTGTTGATATTATTTTAATATTTTTGCTTCTAACAATTTATAGGCCATTTTAAACGGAATAGATAGCATAAACAAAGTGCTAGACCACTTTCGTCGAAAAGGAATAAACCAGCATGTTCAAAATGGTTATCATGGCATCGTAATGAATAACTTTGAATGTGAGCCAGCTTTCTACACATGTGTGGAAGTCACTGCTGGAAATAGGTGAAGGCTTTTAGTTGATATTTAGCATTTTAAAGGAAAAAGCACTAAGGGTAACCTAAGAAATACCTTTCTGTAATTTTAGTATGGCATGTCTTCCATTTTCTTCTGTATCCTTGGTTCCTTATTTAACCTTCTGATTAAAGAAGTAGATGCTAAGTATTTGTTCCTAATCATAGAAACTAGAACTTGTCCTCTTTGGGTTTTCTCCATCTCTACATTAGAATTTTCTAAGTAGTCTTTTTTTTTTGTTCCTATCAGTACAAATTGGGTTTTATAGGAATAAAGTGAATTGTGTAATGCTTAAATGTTTAAAGTCTAAACAAAGTGTGTTTTACTCTGTTTACATGTAGGTTATTTTATCACATTGTTGATTCAGATGAAGTCAGCACAAAGATTTTAATGGAGTTTAATAAAATGAATCTTCCTGGAGAGGTCACTTTTCTGCCTCTTAACAAGTTAGATGTCAGAGATACTGCCTATCCTGAAACCAATGTGAGTCAATGTGTGTTAAGGTCTATCTGTCTTTCATTAAGTTACTTTTTAGTACATACGCTGTTTAGTATGCGCCAGTGCCCAGGCACTGTATACTGGCATTTACTGATCTATGAGATAAACATGCTTTTCTTCCTGTAGAGCATAATTAGTATTGGGTGGGGTTGAGGAGAGATAACAGAAGTCAGAGCCAAGACATGAAACAGATCATTTCAAATGTGTAAAGTGTTGAAGTGTATAAGGACAGGTTGCTTTGAGAGCATTTCTTTGTGTGACAGAGTTAAGGTTAGGGAGTTGGAGAATTCCTGAGGAACTGTAAAGTAAATATCTTTCCCTGATTTTTTTTTTTTTTTGGTTGCAGTTTTTGGCCAGGGCTGGGTTTTTTGAACCTGTCACTTCTGGCATGGGGCTGGTGCCCTACTTCTTGAGCAGGCACTGCCCTAAAGTTAACAGCTTAAAGTTTTCTGGATATGCTTTTTTTTTTTGAGACAGAGCCTCAAGCTGTCCCCCCTGGGTAGAGTGCCATGGCATCACAGCTCACAGCAACCTCCATTCCTGGGCTCAAGCGAGTCTCTGGTCTCAGCCTCCCAAGTAGCTGGGACCACAGGTGCCTGCCACAAGGCCTGGCTATTTTTTTTGGTTGCAGCCCTTATTGTTGTTTGGCGGGCCCGGGCTGGATTTGAGCCTGCCACCTTAGGTGTATGTGGCTGGAG